GTAACTGGTTTGCTGACATTTTGCTTGCAAACGGAAATGAGCTTAACTTAAACCTGCCAAAATTTGCTCGTCCTCTTTACTTTTTTTTTTGTCATCAGGTTTTTTGACACTTCCATAAATGATTGAGAAGAAAATAAAGAAAACAGTGAACATTTTTGTATTTTAGCTTGCTACTTTTTCAACGCAAAATGAAACTGGTCTAGATGCCGGTCTTGATGGGAAAATCTAGACCGCGGTCAATATCGATTTCAGCCAATCAAATTCGTGAACTCGGTAGTTCCCAGTCCTTGTGAGACACAGCCATTTCATAACTACTATTTATTAACCGAGGGTGAAGTAACTTGTCTCTGTTTTTGTTTGTTGTCCAGCTACCTCCAGACCGGAGGACGAAACCTACAAGACTTGGTGTGCACTCTGGGTAACAGGCGAAAGTTTGAAGAAGTTCAAAGATGTTTTGACATCATTGGCTTCAGTCATGAGGTGAATAAAACTGCAAACAGTTCACTAAGCTAACATATTTTGGGTGCAAAAAGCCCTTTCATTATTTTTTGAAATGCAAAGTGCCTTCCTAACTTGTGAAAATTTGATCTTGTTCACAACAGGAAGTATCGCAGCTTTTTTCAGTCCTGGCAGCCATTATTCACCTTGGAGACATTCGCTTCACTGAAGACGAGTCTGTTTCACATCTAAGTGACAAGAGCATGGTCAACAATCCACAAGTGTTACTTATAGGTATGGACGGCAAGATCAAGAGTTAAATTCTCCTAACCGATTGCCGTAGATTTCTTTTAATTTAGTTTGGAGAAGTTGGTGGCATATTTAAGTCACTGTTTTATTTCAGTTTCCTCGCTGTTGGGAATAAATGCAGTGGAACTCAGAGATACTCTAACAACGAACAGCAATGTGACTAGAGGTGAGAGAATTAAAAAATCCTCTAATAAAGTGATGCGAAGACTAAAGGGCACTGCAAATATGATTGTGGCCTTAGTCAGATAAATTCTATCGTACATAGTGGCCTTCAATTGCGTGTGTTAAAACCAAGACCAAAGTAATCACTCTAGCCAATCACAAAGGACACAGACAATACAGTGAACGAATCAAAACTCGAAGCACTGAATACATGTTGCCGACAAAAAGAGCGGGAAAACTGTGCGAGCGCGTCACGATTGGTTTTGGTTTTACTTCTGATTGGATGACAAAGTGGCGCGAGTTTTTTAAGCCAATCGCTGAGCATTGCAAATCCAAAGAAAATATTATTTACTTGTGACACTCGAGTGGAAATTGCTCTATCAAGTACTGTAAAGATAGGTGCCGTGTGTTTCTAGCCCATAATAGTTCTTTCTGGCGGTCAGTACCCAATGTTTTGTAGACATACAGTAAATTGGAAAGTTGTTTTAAATTAGATATGTGTGTTGCAAAATGGGCACAAATAAAGTTGTTGTTGTCACATGAAGTCTAGTTTACGCTTTCGTTCATCGCTGATTTTGATTGTGTTCCAGGAGAGACCATCGTCAGAAACAACTCAGTAGATCAAGCGGTTGATTATCGAGATGGAATGGCTAAGGTATGTTAAGTTGTAGAGAAAACACATTGAGAAAATGTTCAACACAATCATAAAACGAGGCACACTTCCTAGTCCTCCGTCTTCCCACACCTATAAACGCTATTACCTTTCCATCAAGTATAAGTTCAAACAAGAGATTATNGAGTTTGTCTCAAACACAAATCCAAAATGACCGGTGATTGTTGGGTTTTTAAATTGGACGGAGGACATTTGATGCGTGTTCAGCGTGAAACCACCGTTTTCAAGTGTGGAAGGGGCCTGAGACTGTAAAAAAAGAATTTATTCAAGACTGAATGTAACTTTTTCTCAGAGGCGCTGCGTCCTGGGGAGTTTTTGTTTTTCAGAATTTCTTCCCATCGGATATGCTTAGGGGCCTGTTTACAAGGAGGGAGGGTTACCCTAGCAAGCGGGTTGACCCTAGTAGGAGCTGGAGGGCAAAAGATAGCCCGGGTTTACAAGCAAAATTTTACAGGTAGGATAACCCTACAACCCGGGACATGTTAATGCGCGGTTACCCTCAAAGGGTCTGGAAACAATTACAAAGTTAGCCCGGGTAGGCGGGTTAACCTTACCTGGAGTGTTTACAAGGGAAAAAGCTAAACCGCATGCCAGGGTAACCCTAGCACGCAGATAGGGTAACCCTGGCTGCCTTGTAAACACGACGCAGAAAAAAAGAGAAATGTGAGAGTGCTAGGGTAACCCTCTCTCCTTGTAAACAGGCCCTAAAATGGCTAAGAATTAAGAGTTGTCTTTTTTTATTTATGTGTAACTGCTTTTTGCATCAATGTGCTTTTAGTTGTCAAAATTATATTAGTTTTTCTTTCTTTCGTGTGCTACTCCAGCGATGTTTAACAACGCATTTTCCTTTGTTTTGCTTTGCAGAGACAATGATTACAGAATTGGAATCCTGGACATATTTGGTTTTGAAAATTTCAAACGGAATTCGTTTGAACAGCTGTGCATAAACATCGCCAACGAACAGATTCAGTTCTACTTCAACCAGCAAATTTTTTCTTGGGAGTTGGTAAGTTTTCCTTATTAGGTTTGCTCCATTTCTTTCTTTTCCCCAATAACCACTGCTCAATTCAAGTCTAGTTACCCAGCAAACATAATCAGAATAAACCAATCAGAAATCAAAGTCAAACACGCAACCAGGTGGTAAGCGCGGGAAAAGGTAACCGCTGGAGAGCGGCGAGCGCGGGAAAAGTCGCGTAAGACATTTTGTTCTTGCACCTGATTGGTTTAAGAAGGTGATATCTTCAATCTGATTGGCTAGAGAACCCGGTATGCTTTAAGTGATTATTGCACCAAGCTAAGCGCAGCAAATGCAACGCTAAACAAATGATTAATTTCTGCTTTTAGAGGTGACTTGAATTACAGGGTTTTTTTCTATATTATTCTCGCTGTAATCTTGCTTTCTTGGTGTACTTGAAAATACAATTATAGACACTTACTTTACCCTGCTTGTTATGCCCTTCTTCAGTTGTTGTTCTGTTTTGTTTTTCAGGAAGAGTATCGTGTTGAAGGGATTTCTCTTGAACGAATTACGTTCACCGACAACAGGCCTGTTCTTGATATGTTTCTGCAGGTACACCTTGCTTTCTCGAATTTTCCTTGTCTTAAGGAGTTGTCAAGTTTGGTACATGGCCGTGAAAATACCCGAACAGTTTCCGATTGTTGGTTAAATCAATCAGGGATTTTTGCGAACACCGACTTCAAGACGTGAAAATACCTGCTGTGTGTTAAGTAATGGTAATAGGACTGAGTGGAGTCCAATTCGATCTGTTATCGTAAGAGTGATAACAAAATCGGACGACCGCACAGCGGGAGTCCGATTTGTTTATCACAAGTATGATTACAGACCGAAGTGGACGACACGAAGTCGTATTACCAATTGATCATAAAAATTACAATTTCCGAGAAAAGAAGAATAGCCAAGTTATGAAAGAAAGGAAAATTTGCATTAAAATACCTACAAAGGAGATGCAAACATTCTAAGGCCACCGCGCCTCCTACCGGCAATTAGGCGCCAAAAACACAAAAGCAAGCGCGCGCGCGCACGCACGTAACTACAACTTTGAATGTGATTGTCCGATAACAACTTGGCAAGTGAATTAGTGGAAAATAGGAGTTTTTAAACCAATCAAAATCGAAGAAATTGTAATTTTTATGATTAATAAAATTACCTGTGTCCATTGAGGGCAGTGACTTTTTCAGTCCTGTTTATGATTGGCATAGTTCTGAATTGTCCTTGAATAAATTTGCTTTGTGTGACTTTATGAACCATAATTTTTTTTTCATTTTTTTTTTTTTTGAAGAGAGCATCTTTTTTTTCTTTATGGTAGAAACCCATTGGGATACTTGCTCTCTTAGATGAAGAAAGTCGTTTTCCTAAGGCCACCGACTCTACACTTGTGGGTAAGTATAGGACTAATCAACATGCAGAATCTCCGTTCAGGTCTTCATACATTTCTACCAGCCCTGGTTGGGAGAATTGAATCAAATATTAACCAGAAAATGTATATTAATCAAATTTCAAATTTCCTGATTTATTAAGAAAATTCCCTTTCCTAATCATTATATATGAAGCAGCTTACATTTTGCGGGTTAACAAAGCAATGGTCTTTTCCTATCCACAGAAAAATTTCACAAGAACATCGAAGGTCCGCATTATGAGCGACCCAAAGAAAACCATCTGTATCCATCATTTGTCATTGTACATTACGCTGG